AATCAAAGCTTTAAAAAAGTATTAAAATGGGATTTGGACAGCAGAGGATATTCCCTATAGAGTACTACAGTTTCATGAAAGGTCAAAATTCAGGGTGTCTTTACTCCACAGTATTGCTTAAACATATTTTGTGTAACTAATATATCCAGGCAATATTACTTTCAGTGATTAAAAATACATATTTCTGGCTTCTTGGAAATCAGAACAGCAAACAATGGCAGGTGTTAAATTTAGGCTGTTTGTACTCCATACAGGATGAAGAAGATTGGAAAAATTCATACCACTGCTTATGGGAGAAAAATGCTTAAGTGTGTCAGACATATATTTCTTTTCCTAGAATCAACAGCTCTTTACAAAGTCCAAGCTCACTGACAGATACAGACACTTACCATGATGAGGAGAACAGATTCCATAGCTTGCTTTACATTTTTGCTCTCCAGGCTCTTATTCTAAGCTTTGAAAGAGGGAATATGTTTCTAGTCAAAATCACTTCACTGCAAAATGCATGTTATCACATGGATAGCATTTTGTGAGATCATCAAAGACAGAAATTCTAGTTCTAGCTTCATTTTAAAACCTTCTGAAAATGGAAGAGTAAGAAAGATTGGAGAGCGTGTACTTGTACATGAAAAGAATAAAAGACCTTCTAATAATCCAGATGAAGGAGTAATGAGTATATTCAGTAGCTTTCAAAGACAGGATTCTGATGAGATTTAACTGGACAGACAAAGGACATTTAATGAAGTTAAAAGTTGACAAATGCAAAGCAATGCAGATGTGATGGTAAAAAAATCTAACTTTTTTTTCCTAAATTAAGCATATGAAAGCTTAATGTAGGAAACTTAAAGGCACTGCAACATCCTGGGCAGCTCATTCTATCTGCTGAATGAGCAGAAATTGTAAAAAAATAGACAGAACATTGAGAAACAAAATGAGTCTTTTATTATTTGACAAATATAAGTCTGAAAGTATTAAAATTCCATTACAGAAATTAATACGGCAGCTCCATGTAGAGTCTTTAGCTACGCTACTTGTGAAATGATATCACAGGGTTAGAAGAGGACCAAAAAATTCAGAGTGAAGAATTACAAGCCAAGAACTTTGCAGTCAGGACTGACTAGCTTAGCTATAGATACCAGACTTATAGACCATCTAAGCTTATGTAAAAAGGAAAACAATGGTCAGTGTAACACCATTGTACTGACTTTTCAATTCTTTAACCTCTTCTAATATCATAAGAGTTTAATAATTTGGATGGACAGGAAGAAAAACTCTGATCTTAACTCAGAGCAAGTGGTGGTCAGATCTCAGCAGTGGTAATGCCACCAGTTCAGATCATAAGATGAAACAGTGTGTCTATAGCTAATGGATATCCATTTATGAAAATCTGTTGAGAAGTCAGCCAACAGGCCAATTTTTATACATTGCAGTATATTTTATGGACTAAGACATTTGGAGGTGAACTGGTGTCCTGTATGAGATACAGAGCCTTTTAAAATCATATCTGTAGCTGTTTTAAATGAGAATTATCTTTGATATTATAGACAAAGCTGCATAGAGTAAGCTTGTAGGTAAAGTTCCAGGAAGTAAGGGTTGGATCTAACTGAATTGCTTAGTGAAAAGACATAAGATTATTTTCCTCTATGTGCTAATCTCACGCTGAATGGATTTTGGCTTTGAATGTACCGAGTAGTCAAGACAACTACTACCAGTAATAGACTTAGCACTATTAATAACAGTATACCTTAAATAAAGTAAAGCAGACGCAGTTCTGGTCTGATAAGCACAAGAAAGGAAGATGTGCAACTATATAGATGCTTACCACATGATAGTTTAGAGTCTGTTTACAACTGGCAGTCCTAGCAGGGAGCTATGGCTCCTCCAGTAAGTCCTCATTTAAACAAACAGCTGTGCTAGAGTTTATTCCAAGTCTAAAAACCCCAGACAATACAGACTAATGATCAGGCTTTTCTATGGAATTAGATATCTTCCACAAAGATGCAAAAGAATATGTACATGCATATGTGCTAAAACACATGAGCATATGCAGCACTGAAGTTATGTACTGATACAAATGCTGTAAGTCAAATTTGGAAACGGATTCTATAAGAGTGCACTACATGAAACAGCAAAAAAGCTGGTAAAAGTATGCACAGAAAAATACAAAAGGGCTTTCATATTCCGTCACCTATTATGTAAGTTAATCTAACTTAAAGTACTGCTCAAAAAGTATCGTATGTTCGTAAATATTAAATGCTAGATTTTATATACTAAGTAATGATGTGGTTGTCTGTCCTTTCAGGAAATGGTGAACACAGAAATTCAGGGTGTAAGCACAGTTGTCCTTCAATGCTGTACGAAGCTTTCTGAGAATACTCGCTTGTACATCTGCAGACTGCCACACTAAGATGCTGGAAAGGAGTTTACTAGTGGTTGCATAAAGTCTGGCCTTAAATCCCGGTTAAACCTAGAAAATGCATGTTGATTAGACTCACAAAATAACACTTTCATTGCCTTTCTTTCCTCTGTCAGCTAGAATAAAGCGAGTTACTTATTTCACAGCCTTTTTGAATCATATATGCTTTTTTCTAGCCATCTACTTCATTTCCTAAAACACTTAGAGTTCTTCATTAAAAAACTCCACGGGTTCTGGAAGGAGTATTCTGTGGCTTCACCCTGTCAGGCCCCAGTGACATAAAAAGCATTGCTCTATTATTATTATTATCAACAAAATTCTGGTTTGGCATGTATGCTGATCCTAGTTACTTTTAACGGCAAAACCTCCAAAGAGAAAAGGATTGATATGATGAAAAATGGAGGTCAGACAGAGTTTAAATACACCAGAATAGGAGAGAGACTTAAAATATGGCATTAATAAAGGAGATCCTGTAGTTTAACAGCATGACATATTTCTTATTGAATAATTCAAAAGAGAGTCTCGTTCAGAACCCTAACCTAAGTGATAATTAACCACAGCAACATACTTACTTTCAACAAAAATATAAAATAAGATCTAATTTATGACCATTTCCAGTGGCAAAAAATGAAGTTCTCTAATTTATCTCTGAAAAAAGACACTAGAAGAGAAACAAAATGAAAGAGGAGCTTTAAAATAAAAAAGCATTTCAAAGGCTAGATTCCTGCGGGCATTTCAGTGCCTAGGGCATACTGCTCTGGTTAGCCCTTGGAATTCGTCATTGCAAGAGTGAGGTGATTATTTCTCTTTAGGAGAAATCTCTTCTATGCCAGTAAACACAGAATAGAAGTTGTACATTTTCTAAACTGAGGTATGCATACATTTGGACTGAGAAAGCAGCACACCAGAACCCATGTATTTTTTTTTTTAATTAAAAAAAGGGCAAACTGAGCCTGCGCAATTCTTTGAAACTGAGTTGAGAAACTCCTCCAGCAGCTGATTACACAGTACTCTGCCTGCTATAACATGTTTTTCACACTTTGGTACATCACATTATTTCACAACTGGAAAGTGAGGGGATACGACAGCTATTTACAGAACTCAGAAAATTTGGTAACACAGAGCAGAAGGTAACTAAATCATAGATAAATGGAGAAAGGTTTCTTAATATAAGTTATTAAGTGTGCTCAGTAAAACTGCTTCCACTGTTATCAGCCATATTATCTACAATACATTTGATTCAAATTACAAATCCAACAGTAATACAACAAAAAAACCCTAGCTGATAAGCCATAAGATTTCAATTGAATGCTTCCATTAAACATACATATATGATCTACCTTTAAATTAAACGGCACCTGACTCATGCATTTTATTGTTCTAAATATTGCAGTCACACCAGCAGAGTATTTTCATAATAATGCTAAAACTGTTTTATTAACTTGTATTCTGTGCATGTTTTAAGTGATTAGTAGTACTGATCAAGGATGCAGAAGGACAGATGTTTAATTGGCAGTAAGAACACAAGAGTGAATTCTCAGTTGTCAAGTTTCAGGCAGAAGTTCAAGAGAAATACATGCCCATAGCTAAAGCTGAGTCTCATTACTGAGTTTTAAATGCCTATTTAAGACCTCCTTGATTAGTGAAGTATTGAAGCTTATTTATTCTTGCCTCAGAACCTTAGTTTACTTCTGATTTAGATGCACAGGAAGGCAAAGACAGATCTGTATAAGAAGAAGGTAGTCTCTATTAAAAATCTGCAAGTCATGAGGATGATTTACATTTGAGAGAGTCAAGGTATTTTGTGTGGACTCAGCTGAAACTAAGATGTGAACTCCTCCCTGCAACATTTCTCAGCAACAACACAACACCTAATCATGCCAAACTAGCCTGCTTGCAAGTATGCTTTTCCTTTGAAGAGACATTACATCCTTGTAATTTCCAGCAACCCATTAAACTTTTTCAAAATTTCATTTCAGGGACGGAACTACAGATATGACTGTGATCTTCTTCCTGTATTTGCTTCTTCGCATTCATATTGACACAATCTACCTTCCTCAGCATCTGATTAAGTATTTGCATATTTTGTCATACAATATAATCAAAATAAAGTCTCTACACCTCTATTATTATCCATTTCCACTATCTTCAGTTCAAGTATTTAAGATACAGACCTGGTGAAACCAGAAGCTGTACAGTGTCAGTGAAATTCTGTGAATCCTTATTTAGAAAGGTACCAGCTCCTAAGAACATAATGTTCTGCTGGCTATCTCTTTCTCTGCATAGAACTCAGCAGTCTTGCATTCAGTCATCTTCACTTCTATAAAGTGGGGTTCTATCTCTGAAAAAAGGCTGCTATGGCCCTTTTGACATTGACATAGTAACTATACAATGTATAATGCAATGGGGCCACTGGGACACAGTTTTCTCCTAACTATCTGAAAAAAAACTAACATAAAAGTCTCTGGAAAAGTTTAAGAAGTTTTAGAATACAGTATTTATTTGGAAAGCAGCCGAAAACTAAGTAATTTCTCGTTAGTTCTTTCTTCTGCTGCTTATTGAGAGTTTCTTCTTTTTAACTTACCAGGCATTATAATATTGGAAAAACCTAGTTTCCTTGTTATGGATACTCCATGGGTAAACATGGATGTATACTCTCTCCTAATTTGTTCTATGTCTCCATGAAGCAACTGAAGAGAAACTGCCAGACCTGAAAATGAAGAGAAAAACAAGGAAAAATAAGACATTCAAACAGATTATGGTCATCACTACTTGTTAAACATTATATAGACTTGCAAGTATATATGCATTCCTGAGAACTCAGAAAATTCAGAGGAAGTTCAATAATACCAAGCCAACTCACCTCAAATTTTTTTATATATTTGGGAAGGGTACCAACATCCAGAAATCAATAAAGATTTGAAAACAACTACCCATGAAAAAGCATTAGCAAATTATTACTGATGCGTAACTGAACTACGATGACAAGTTAGATCAAAATTATCTCAATAGGGATGGACTGAGGCCTTAAGTGGAAAAAGGATTAGAAAAATGTCAACTTAGAGAAACGTCAATCAGTAATATTTGCTACCACTTTAATTTTTCACTTCCTTCAACACAACGCTGTCTTCACTGACATACAAGAAAACTATGGTCCCTATCTATGGGAGAAACGTGGAAGTCTCATTACAATGCATCACTTAACCTAATACAAAGTTATACAACTTATTAATCCAAAATCTGAAGAAACAAACTCTAATAAACCAATATGTCATAATCAGTATTTTTTACTTAGGTACAGTAATTTCACAATGACTGAAATTACAACTTTTTTCCAATATTCATCAGATTTAATCAATCATGCTCTTTCCTATGTTTGCTAGAAGACATATAAAATGCAAGGGTGGCCATATAATCATTTTCCAATATTTATTCATCTAGAACCAAGGAAAAATAACTTCATTTACTATATCCGTAGTATACAAATAAATTGCAAACAGTATACTTCATTACAGTTGAGATTAACAAGAACAACAGGCATGCCTTTTCATTATTTCAAACATTATCACTAAGGCAACTGTCAGGATGATACAGCTTGTAAAGATTAATCTTCCCTGACCTTCAACATTACTACAGCATATCACGTGTCAACATACCGATCAAGGAGACGGTAAGAGCAAACTCTTCATATACACTGAATAACTGGAGATAAACAGACAACTCAGAAGAGTCATAATTAACTTTAGATTAAACTTAAGTAAATAACATGTACACACAGACTGAACAACAAGGTCATCAGTCCTTTGGGCTTCGGAAGAAATTTCCCCTACAACCATGTTACTATTTAACTGAATAAATTCACTTCAAGTTTGATGGTTCTTAAATCAGAGCTTGAAAAATCTGTACTAAGTACTGCCAGTCCAGGCTACTGCACTGAAGAGATCAGAGATCTAACTAGCATGTCAACTTTCATCTTTTTCCTCTTACCTACAGTTACATTTTATTATTTTGGCAACTCCAGAAAATGTGATACTCTGACCAGACTTCCATTCTCTTATGAAAAATAGCTCACCTGCACATGTCCAACTGAGTACATAAACAAATCTTACAAGGAAAAAAATTCAGTGAAGTCTACTCTATTTTAAGGACTGCATTTAATGCCATGGACATTAATTATTTTCGTAATGGGAATTCGTTCTGTGGTTATCCAGTTAACAACTTTTAGGAAGTAGTGACAATTATTATTGGTGTAGACGAGAAAACAAACCACACTGTAGCCAGCTGATGGCACAGGAGGTTGGTAAGAAGTCATACAGGCAAAATTCAGATTCTGTTAGAGCTAGTGGAAAGTTTTTCATTGCTGGATGGGAAGAGCTAGGCTGGGTATAGCTTACTTACAAATATGGATATTTATCCCACCTTCAATCTTGTTTCTTTTATATTTAAAGAAATTGTTATACATACATATGTATATTCATACCCCCATATGCCCCTATTGCACTGTTTCCTTGGTAACCTAAAAAACATTTGCCTTTGCTTCAGATCACATCAACCACAACAGCGTTAATCAGATATTGTACACCGCCTGGTGCTGAGTAAAGTTATTGTGTTTTCTTAACAAAAAGTTGTAGACCTCAAATCCAATTAGTACTACAGTTTTCTTTGTGTACAAATTTCACAGATTTCCTTGAAGAATTTTATTTAGCTCAAAAATGAGATAAATGTCAAAAAACCTCACCAATAGCAAAATAGTTTTAACTTGAGAAATAAGCTGCCTGTCAAGGATTTGAAGTACTTGCTCATGTAAGGCGAGAAAGGTATTAAGAGCTCTGTATTTCACAGCATTCATTGTTAGAAAATGAAGAGTCATCTTTTTATACGCAAATGCATCAAGGAAATCTCTCACTGAACACACTTAAAACATGGTTTAGTCGTTTTACCTATAGTTTAAATACATCTTTGGAATATAAATGGTATGCATCCCCCAACTCTTCAGAATAATGAAGAACATTGGATTAAAGATAGCAGAGTTACTTAAAAATTTTATACGGTGTAAACAGTCCAGTACAATAGGAAAAAAAACAGAATGGAAACAGAGCAAAGATGCCCAGAGAAGGAAGTCTGAAGAACATCTGAAAACCAAGGTTTCAAGTTAACAATCTTGCCACAGAGGATCAAGCTGCCAAATGAAAAGGGAATTGACAAGAAGATATGATAAATGCGGTAAAAATGCTGAAGTTAGGAGCATAAAGACTTTATATAATCAATGAAAAGAAGGCGATCCCCAATTAAGTGTTCTGATTGGTCTCTCAAAGCTCCACTAATTTTGCAAGGAAACTAGGTCCCCCTGCATTAAGCACCTAAAATCAGAAGATGCATACCATTAGTGAGGTGTGACACCCAAGTTACAGAGTAGGTTGCTTGAATTCCCACTGATTTTTTACATTCAGGGTCTTGTGATGGGCAAAAAGAACACACTATATGAAAAGCCAGGAACTTATTTTTAGTTCTAATGAAAGTTATAACAGTCTAATCAAAGAGTTATTATTAGTCCGTTTACAATGATACTAACACACTCCAAACAAAATACTGTTAAAATGACATATATACACACAATCTTTCCAGTATCTACCCCTTGCTCACCCTTCCACTGCCCCTCTGGGGTCTTAAGGTCAATGGTTTCAACATGGGAAGGTGGTGTATGGTGACTGAGTTATCAGCATCCCAAGTCCTTTGCCATGAGGAATAGGATGTTGCCTGTTTCTTCCTCCTCTCTCTCTAGGCTCCTCTTGGAGTAATTTTTATGTTTGTTAATTCAGTTTATACCTTGTTATTTCTTCACTGCAAGTCCACATTACATCTTCATTCATCATATATGATGTGTTTTATATATGCCACATATCTGTTCTTTGTTCTCTTTGTTTCCCCTAAAACTGGTTTTATTCTGCTCTCAAGGTCACACTATTTGATGATGAGTAATTGGCCACTGGTGAGCTGTTCATAGGTCTGGGGCCTCTAGTATCATCCCATGCCAGTACTTTCAAGGCCTCAGTTATGATCACATATCTTTACTCTTCTATGTTCCATTTTAGTCTAGGGTTATAGATAGCTAACTCTACACAGAGTAACTACATGTTATAACTATCTATTAAATACAAAACATATATACAAAAGTGGGTTACACCACACAATTGTACAAAGCTAAGCAAGAGCTAAAATAAAGTAGATATAATTTATTATTTTGTCATTAGATAAAGCTTTTAGTCAGAACAAATCTCCAGGCAGGTTAAGACAAGTCCAGCCAGCCAAAGCCAGACAGGTAATGAGGACTGTGTTGCCTGCTAAACATAAAGCCTGTGGCCAGTTACAAGCCACAGCAATCCCATATTTATGGGTCTACAAAAATACAATACACTTGCCAAAGAAACTAGACACCCATCATGACTGAGGAACCATGCATCTGAAATAAAAGTCATGGGGTACTTTAAAAAGATTGAATAATACACATTTTACAAGGGACTGAAGTTTGTATCCTTATTATAAATCAAGCTACCTGACTATCAGTTAGAGTTAACTAACATCATTTAAAACATACTGACACGTCACAGAGCAATTCAGATTTTCAGAAGGTTGCACATTCAATTGAAGCGAAGAGGGACTCCCTCAGACACACTGCAAAACAAAGTGGAATGAAGAGGAACTGACTAGTTGAAAGACACCACCTTCCTCACCAAAATGTAACCAGAATTTTGCATACCTAATGGCCAGAAAGCCACTAAACTCACCTTACAAGTGATTAAAGCTATCTCTATGGAGAAGAAAGGAAGGGGTGGAGGGGAAACTTTACTGCTCCTGGAAAGGAAGGTTTAATCAGCAGACAATAATGAGACAGGGTCAAGGTGGAGCAGGCTTCCAAAGAATTTGGTCAGCAGCCAGTCTGGGAAAGATGGAGAAGATACTCAAGGAAAAGGAATGCAATCAAAAGAACGCAGAAATATTCTTTTTGTATATGGAGATAGAAAGTTAATTCATTAACATTTCTCCGATGGTAACATGAATACTTTTTCTGTCACTTAAGAAAGGTAATATCCTTTAGTTTTAATTTATTCCACTCTGATGATGTATGTCAACATCAGTTCTTTCTCATCTCATTTCATGCACTAGACAATAAAATTATCAGCTTTAGAAAAAAATTAGAGCATGCCTGCTGGAATAGCTGTACATGGACAAAGCAAAGTAGAAAACTGTAACATGCTACCATATACTGCATCTGACTGTGGTTGATATGATCTTTACACCATCTATGAGACCTAGAATCTATCCAAAATTTCATAACTATAAATTTTCCATTTCTAGAACATTAGGAGCTAAAACGTGACAATGAAAATGATTATTCAGTCTCTGAAGGACTGGCACATTTTCTTTAATTAGGTACATAGTGTAGCTTTGTCCCCTCAGAAAAAATTTGAAATTACTTCCTTAGTGGTAATTAAAACCTCTTGTGTTAGCTATTATTCTTTATTTACTCCAGGTTTGAAAATGTTACCACAAAACTCTGTGTGGTACTGCAAACAGATCTGCTTTTATTTCCTTTGCAATTTCTCACAATTAACTTGTACCACAGTTTACCACAGATTATTTTTATCATTCAGATGAAAGAGTATACAGAAAATTGACAAGTTGCTGAATAAGCATTCCAGATTTTTGTTA